GAAAAAGAGGAGACCATAACAAAGGGATGTCATTTGATCTGAAGTAATAACTCCACCCAAGTAATAGCCCTCCTGGAACTGGATAGGGAACAGCCAAAGCCAAGGACCCATGACCTTCACATTTTGGAGGATGGGGTGGAATGGAAAAGAGGCATTCTACAGGAATTCCAATGGCATCTGAAAACATCAAATTTGAGTTACCTTCAGGCATTCCCTTCCCTTTGAAATTCCACCAGATCAATCAGAGTAGCAATGAATCCAATGTTTACTTCCACATCATAAGAAGCAGGTGGCTCTAGAAGATGGACTCTTTTCTGCCTCTTGGTTCTTCTAGGATCCAACTATGGACTCTATGATCCTTCCAAAGAAGGAAAAGGTACAACTCCTTCCTAGACCCCTCCCCCAGAAAAGGGGAGAATACTTTAGTAGTCCTATTTATTCACCCCTTCTGAATCCATTTCCTTTGATACAACAAGATTTTGTCATTCATCTTGCTAAAAAAAAAATAATATTTCCCTGCCCTTTGACATTGGGCTTGGCTATGTGACTTGCTTTGACCAATATGATGTTAATGGATTTATGACATAATCAAAAGCTTGTAATGAGCTTGCATGGGGGGCTTGTGCTCTTACCCCTTCCATTACCAGAACATGACAAGCTAGTAGCTGGTGCTGGGGCTAGGACAAGGGAAACAGAAGAAGCCACTCCCATCTGTGCCAGATAAGAACAAGCCAATTTTCCCCTTCAACCTGCAGACACAAGGGTTAAGAAATGAACATTGTTGATGCCACTGATATTTTCTAGTTGTTTGTAATGCAGTATTATCATAGCAACAATAGATACACACACAGATACAACTACAGGCAATAAATGTAGTTTTGGGGTTAAAATATCATTTGCTTTGTTTTCTTAATACATAATAAGTAATAAATCTCTAATAGTTTTCTTATTAGACTGTGAAGTCCTCAAAACAGAGTTCCATTACCTTCCCAATATCCAAAATCTATTCATAAGTCCATGCCATGTTCTAAGCTCCAGGGGATACAATGGTAAATGACACATAATTCTAGCCATAGGTCTTCCTTCACCTATGATGTTTCCAACCATTATCAGGATTAATGTGCTTTTATACAGAGGAATAATAAAGTTTATTTCTATGGCTGAAAGTATATAGGTCAGTAAGAACCCCTAAATCAACTGAGTGTTATTTGCTTAAATACTGGGTGAACTGGATCATTGCATCTTTTAGTAATCCAAAGAATGGACAAACCACTGCATTATTAGTTTTTAATTCTGGCCAATCACCAGACCTTTGTAAATTACAAATTCCTTGACTCCATCTACAGATATCTGACGGAATATTCTAGCACAAGGCCTAGGCCTCTGTTATTAAAAACACCTCAAAATAATGCTGACAATCATAAGAATTGAGGACTTCCCCTCATTTAATAGAACCTCTTCATCCACTGATTGAATATTTTCTGCTGTGTTAAACTAAGTGTTTGACATTAATAGACCCAACACGTGAATACAAAGTACCAGGATCCAGATCACCAAATGTATCAGTCATGATTAGCTTAACAAACCACTCCAAACTCAGCAGCTTAAAACAATAAGTGTTATTGCTCATGAGTCTTTAGATCTGGATAGTTTTTTCTGATCTCTGCTGGACCCATTCAAGTGTCTGAGGACAGCTGGTTGGTTTAGGATTTCCTCATTTCTATGTCTAATATAGAATCACTGTCAGTTGGGTGACAGGGTCTCTGGGTCACAGCAAGAGTGCCCAGGAGTTTCTACATGATGACTGACTTGGATTCCAGGAGAACAAGCAGAAGTATGAGAGGCTGCCTTAAAACTGAGACTGGGGACTAACATCTGCACATTCTCCTGGTCAAAACAAGTAATAAAGCCAAGCCAAGATTCAGTGGCTGGGGAAACAGACTTTACCACTTGATAAGAGGAGCCAGAAAGTCATGTTGCAAGGGAATAGATTAAAAGAAGAGAATAATTGGGATAATTTTTGCAAATCAATCTATATTATACAGTATAATAAGAGAAAAATATAACCTCTAGCCAAATGAGATTTCTAAGTGAGGGCCAAAGTTTTCACTTTCATCTCAAAAAGACATAAAGTCCTCATATTAAAACTTCATCTGACATTCTTCATTCTAGCTCTTTGATTTCATCTTACCAAATCCTCAAGATCTCTTTCTCAAACTAAAGCAAAAGCAACCTATATATTCTCAGCATCATCTTTGGGGTACTTGAAGATGTAGATGACATGCTAATCTTTTGAGGATCTGTTCAGGACAAATTTCTGTGACTTAGGATGTGCCTGTGAGAATTATCATCAGGGCTACATCCTCCGAAGACGTGCATGGCATTAACATGAGGAACACCAAAGCACAAGAAGAAATATTACAGGGGAGAAGATAACACATAAGACTAGCAAACAGAGAAGCAGGAAACCAGAGCTTAAGGGAGACTACAGTTTGATGCTAATTATAATTTCCGCCTGGGGCTGCTGACTAAGCACTCTTCTTTCTTTCTCCTTTCTCTTCTCTCCATTTCCCTGACCATTACCACTTAGGAAAAAACCAGAATCCACAACTATTTTTCCTAATCTAGGCCCCAAGGTATATATAGCCTGACTGAGATGTAGCAGTAGTTTACAGCATCTCTATAACAAAGGTGTTGCTTTATTTTAGAATAAACCTTGACCTTTTGGTTAGAGCCAAAGTCTTCAAACACCTACTTATGAGGCATGGAACAGCAGGGGGTAGAAGAGAAAATAGCTCCAGAAACCAGAGACACAGGATGGTACAGTTGGCCAAAGGCTAGGTAGTGCCTGAGGCTCTTTGAAGGAAATTTCTCAAGAGGGAAGGAGAAAGTATACCCTGCTCAAAGACAAAGCTGTCCTGAGTGCATACTCTGGTTCCTGTATGTCCAGTTTACAGTCTGGTTGGTAGACTAAGCAATAAGAGTAGATACAAAACACAATGAAGTAAAAAAATTCATCATAAAGATGCCTAAAAATTCATCATAAAGATGCCTCAGAAAAGCCAGATTCAAGCAGACATTGCAATATCAATTTGGTTTATGAAGAAAGCCAAAAAATTCTGAAAACATGTGGAATAGGCCTCAGTGGGAAGATTCATTGCCCACACTCTTCTAAACTCTATTGTGTTCCTGAACATTGGATATGGGAGAGAAGCAGGTTTGGTAGTAATGGTGACATTTTTATCCTATAGTATGTTGTACGCAATATGCAAATACCTGAGAACCAGAATCAGTGCTGTTAACTCTATGGGAGGCTTAGTAGTGTGTATATTTGCTTTTCAATTATAACTGGAAAGTCACAACTTTAAAACATGACTCTACAGAAAAATCATCACAATGGTTCCTACCTTCACTTCTTGCTTACTTGGTCTCAAAATGAGTGGCATACTCGGATCATCTTCTAACACACTAGCCAACTGGTTGCTAATAAATCTCTGCTTTTAATTAGGCAAGGGGAATCGAAAGCAATAAGGAAGCAAACTTGATGTTAGTACCACAGGAGCAGTGATAATCACAGTGATTCTCACAGCAAAACACATACTGTGGTCTTCATAAACTTAGAAGAGAGATTTTTCACCCTGTCTGGGCCTCTATGCCCTCCAACATTCACATTTAGATAACTTTGTGCTCTTCTTACATGCCATAAAGTTTAGGTATGCCTTCTTAGAACATTATTTTTTAGCTGTTGTTCACTGCTGCTCCAAAAACCTAGATATGTTAGGTACAGGTTACTCCTTAAAGAGAATACCTAAGTTGCTTGCCCGGAGGTGCCAAGAATGAACCTGCACTGCATTTGCAGAGACACCTAGGCACAAGCCAAATATCCACATGTGTCACAGCAGTACCTCTGGTTTGGGAAATTCCTACTGCAGTTTCCTATTTCACTCTCTTATAAACTATAAACCCTCTTAACGCAGTATCTTTACATTCATAATTGGGAGGTAATTCTTCATGGCTGTTAAGAGAACTGTCTCAAATATCTACAATATTTGAATGAAATTAATTTTACACATAGCCTTATCTTGCCTACAACATTTTTCTTGAGTTCTTCCCAGGTATTAATATTTTGACTAGGTCAGGAACCAGAGGCAGCAGTTTATTCCTTCACATGCCAGTTGCAATCTGTGGCTTGTCTTTAGAATAAACACTAAAAACACAGGGGTCTGTTAACAATTCCACACTTGATTATTCTGAGTTACCCTCTCATCCACAGAAATCGGGTAGAAGACCTTGGCATCAGCTCTGCACAGAAAACCTCCTCCATTTGCCTTCCCTTCAAGGAATTCTCAACACACTACACAAAGATCTCTGTTTTCTCTCTCAAATACCACATGATCCCACATTGAACATCAGACATTTCTCTCCCCTGAGTACCAGAGGCCTCCGCCTGTGGTATCTTAATCAATACTTCCAAGTTCACTTGCATTTCATTAGAACAACTAATCTTTTAATACTTTTCAAACTCCAGCTCTGACATCTCTTATTCTACATTGAAATCTTTGAACAGGTTTTGTTAGCTTGTTTGTTTTGAACAAAATGTCATGTTGGTTTATTTTAAAGCTCTGGTAAGAATTAAGCTACATTTCAAATAGAGTTGCCCATGTATTAAAATGCCCACAATCCTTAGCACTTTTTCTTCCTCAAAACCTAATTGGTAAGCAAAGTAGCTTTTTTCCCCTATAGGACCAAAAGGGTAAGTTATACCACTCAAAGGTAATTATCTGTTAAGTTTTGTTCCAAGGCAGGCTATCAGGTTACAAGTTCTAATAACCTCACTGGAAAAAGACATTTCTTTGTTTTGGGACCACCAAGAACTAACCAACCAAATCAAACACCTTCAATCCTTGCAGAAACTCTCCTGTCCAAACACGATAAAAAAGAAAAGCCAACAATAAAGCAAATAAAGTGAATGAAGCAGTCCTGCAGCTGGAAGCCCTTACCATTGGGAGCAGAGGATCCTGGAGATTCCTCTCCGGGGCTCCTTCTGGCGTGGGGTGGTGGCCAGGGGTCCAAGACGTGGGTACTGGTGGAGGTGTGCTCTTTGCATGCTTGAACAGGGCTCCCTGCCGTCTGCCTGCCTGGCTGCCACTCAGTGTTCTCGTCTGGGTGGGAAGGGCCAAGTTGAAAAAAAAATGTGCAGGTTACTCACTGGCCTTCCCGGGCAGACACACCCAGGAGGAGGGAGAGGCCAGGCGCAGACAGGGAGAGTCTTCAGAGGCTGTTCCTGAGATCTGCTTCTGATTCCTTTTGTTATTACTTCCTGAACTTTAAGCTCTCTCTGCCCGGGCACTGAAGGGAAGCAGGTAACACTTGGGTGATTATTTTCAACTGTATAATGCAAAAGTTACTTTGAAAAGGTAATGTTTTATCACACACATCTTTAAATTTAAACCTGAAAACTGTTTTTGCTGTGTTAGAGAATTAACACTGACATTCATAGGAGAGTGATTGGTTACCCTGGGGTGGAGGCCTGGAAAAGCCTGGAGGGAGCAAACCTGTATGACATTTCAAAAAGCATTTCTAGAGTCTTTTTTAGACTCAACTTTAGAAAAACAGGATTCTCAACAATCTCCCAGAGTCTGTGAACTTTGCCTTGGACCAAAGACACATTCTTGAAAAAGGAATCTGTAAATGGAGATGTCAGAAATGGACATGGGAAAAGCTAGAACTTGCTACCTGACAGCCTGGCCATAGTTAAAACCTGAAATGAAGGCTTCCATAAATGAGGGGTGCTTTAGTAATTTTCCTGCTTGGGTAAGCATGTGTATTCATGAACACAGGCAGCAGCAGTAACATGAGGTAGATGAAGCTGAGGATGAAGAGCAGGCAGCAAATACTAGTGCCCTGTACAGACCAGACACTTACCTCATTTAATCCTAAAATGCCTTTATGAGGGAGGTATTATTCTTTACCTGTGAGCACACTGACACCCAGAAGTCGGGCAACTGGGCTTATGAGACCCAGGGAATGGAAGACCTGGGATTTGGACCCAGGTTTGCCTGAATTCAAGAACCAGGAATATTTCCCACCATTTCTAAACAAACCAACACCTTTCCTCCACTTGCAGTTGACCTAAGGCCTTGTCACCTTTCCTGAAATTTCTATAGCTTTTCCAAAACTGTTAATGCCATATGACAGAATTTCATGGGATAGTAGTAAGTGTAATAAAAGTAAAAAAAAAACAAAACAAAACCCTAGATTCTCTTCTGTAGCCATTCATAACCTTTAATGAACTAAAATATATTTTGATCCTCCAATCTTGGGGACTTAGTATGCTATGTATCTTTTCCCAAAGTTTATTTTCTTCTTTTTTTTTTGCTTGACAGGAAGGCATCTTTCGAGAGTTGGGAAAATAGTATATTATAGAATTATAGAGATGGGTTATTAAATTTTTCTTCCCCCTTTAAAAAAAAGTTAAATTTATAAAAATTATTTATAAAAAATTCAAATAGTATATAACAGCATAAAATAAAAAGTAAAAATCTCTCCATTTTCCCTAACAACCAGTCCCCATTCTCCAGAGGAACCCACTGTTAGTGATTTCTTCTGTGTCTGGTTCAGACATTTTTATGCATATAAAGCATATGTGAATACCCTTTTTAAAATAACATATCCAGGATTAAAGTATACCCATGTTATGCTATTTCTCACTTTTGAAACTTAATGACATATTTGAGATTTTCCATATCAGCATATAGAATTGCTTTTGGTAAGTTAGAGCCAAGAAAAAGAAAAGGTAGTCCTAAAATAATGGAGTTACTGCTTTATAAAAAGTTCCCCTACTTGGGTCATTGTAAGTTTCATGACTCAGGGTGGAAATGCATGGCTCTCATTCCAGCTCTAGTTGTGGAATGTCCTCGCTTAATGCTCACATACAGAAGGCAGAGGACACTATGGCCTCCTCACGGATCATCTGGGAAGCTCAGTAGCAATGGTGTTAATAATGCCACAATCTCAGCCAACACTTACTGAGCACTCTGTGCCAGGCACTTTTCGTAATGTTTTCTATGTATTGACCTATTACACCTTACTTATCCTCAACAACTCAATGAAGCTGGTGCTGTTTTTCCCCATTTTACAGAGTGAGGGAACTTTTTAAAAGCATGTATCCAGTACACACCAAAAGTTGCTGTTTTTATGAAGTAAGCATAGCACTAGCAACCCTGATCTTTGCCACAGTGTGGTCCTCCAAGCAGCACTATAAAGTGGATCCCATTTTCCCTGAGAAACAATGTTGTAATTGGGGTTCTGTTCTAAGACCTCACTTTGGATTCCTATAAATTCTAGCCAGGATCAATAAAATCTTTTAAAAACAGATACAATAATTCTCATAATCATATGAAATAGTAAAATGATATTTCACAACAGAGATTTGGAGAAGCTTTTACAACCCTTCCTTTTTACTGATGAAAGAAATAATATCCAAGATTACAATATCTAAGATTATGTGGGTCTTCTCTAAGTCAGTAATGAAATAATTCTAAAATGTGCATACATTTGACACCTTATTACATAAGGGACTCTAACACAAATCCTATCATATACATAGAACATATTATATCACAAATTTGAAGTATTTTTAATGTAAAAGTTAGAACAAGAAATACATATTTAACTAGATATAGCTTTCCTGCCTGTCTCCACAGAATTTTAAAAGGTCATTAAAAGAAATGATTTGACTGATTCATTTCTCAGAAAAACTGTCCATGGATAATATGAATCAATACCTTCTTATTTTTTCAATGAATTTTCCTATAAAAACCAGAGGACTTCAAAATAAGCCTACCAGACTTCATTCCCCTAATATAGATAGGTAAGCATCTCCAGTGGTTTGGGAGAGCACTCAGGACCTCAGTTTGCTTTGCAGCACATTGCACTGACCTGATCCTCTGCCGGATTCTATTTCTCCCTCTTTCTCTCTCTCTCTTTTTTTTTTCTCCCTATCTACCTTCCTAAGTAAAGAAAGCCTTGCAAGTGTAGTAAATTACAGAGGGGCAAACATAGAGCACAGAGGAAGAAGGGTAACTTATACTGCTTAACCCATTTTGTCCTATAATCTCAGATATGGAACACCTATAAAACTTTAGTATGTAATATATATGGCCCCTGGCCACATTTGGAAAACTTTCTCTTCCTATTATTGCTAACAAATACAGTGTTATATATATATTTAGTATGTCATATAGATGTATACACACACATAAGAATATAACTATAGTATAGTATAATATTAACATAATATCTATAAGTTCTAGACCATGATTTCTACCCTATGCACTCTCAATTTTATTAAAATATTCTCAGAATTGAAATCTTGGGACTAAATGGGTTAAGATGATTACAAGTGAGAAGACACCATGTATTTTGCTCTAAGAGTTGAAAAAAAGAGAGAGAGAAACTAATATCTTCTCTTCTCCCACTTTGACTCCCAACACAATATTAGATTATACTTTCAGCACAGTGCCTAGAATAATGTATAGAAACTTGTTGACTAGTTAGGTATTTGTTCCTCTAAATCTGAATAATCTTCATGTTCAATGGGATCACCACTAACAAGGTATGAGTTGTTTCTTATCTATTACATGTGATGGTTAAATGTCTATCCTGAAAGAAATCTACATGTGGAATAAATAGTATAGCCTGTACTAAAATAGGCAACATTTAAAAGACATAAATGCTTGTTTTGGCTGCTCTACAGTCAATAGTGAGGAAAAAACAGCAAACATATAATGAAGATGAAGATAACATTGGAACTCCAGTTCTGCTACCTATGCTCTGGTCAAGTTACATGGAAGAGTTCCAGATTCCTGGTCTCAGGTGAGGAAAATATTATCTGACTCATAAGGCTCTGATTGAAGGTGAGCTGAAAGACATGTAAGACATCTTGTACACTGCAGAATACTGCTCAAATGTTGGGTCCTAACCATCACTGCTTCTGGTGCTCTGATGATGACAGTGGAGATGATAGTTGCTTCCAGAGAGGAACCAAGTTGCTTCTGTTGTTCTTGACTCCACAGCACATGTTCTACTTGGCTGATGTTCCCAGAGTAGGACTATCAGAACACTAACTAGCTAGTGAGCACAATTCAACTGGGAAATGGGACCAGTTTGTTTTCCTGTGAACACTGACCTTTTCCTCCATTCCTCTCGTATTATCAGAACTTCTGAACTACTTCCTTTTAGAATACATACAAAACTTTTTTTTTTTAACTTTTGGCTATGGAAAATTTCAAATGTACATAAAAGTCGAGAAAAATGTGCAGCAAAACCTCACATATCACCCGTATCAATGATTATTAATTTATTCAAAGCTTGCTTTACCTGTATCCATAATCATTTTGGATTATTTTGAAGCAACTTCTCAGTATTATTCTTATTTCATCCACAAATATTTCTGCATGTTTCTCTAAAAGACATGTATCCTAATTTTAAACAGAATCAAAATATTATTACATCTAAAAATGAACTATTAACTACTTTATATTATCGAATATCCATGTGCATTAAATTCCTCTAAATGTCTCCAAGATTTATTTGCACTTCAAGTAGATTCTGCAATTAGTTGACAGGTATTGTCTTTTTAAATCTGAAATTTCTTCTTCCATCTTTATTTTTCCCTTGCAATTTATTTGCTAAGGAACCTGCTGTTTTGCCATATAGATTATCCCCAAATCCACATTTTGCTGATGGCATGATTAACATGTTCCTTTGTTCCCTGTATTTCCTGTCACTTCATAATTAGTTCTAGAGACTTTATCAAATTCAGATTTGACTTTTGGATTGCCTAGTTAGTTGATAGTCTTGTATATTGCCATCAGGAGCAATCGATACTTAATTAGCTTGGGTTTTGTGTGCTTAACAACCACTGAGAATCGGTGTTCAGTAGTGCTTCAGTAGTTGGAAAACAGTGATTTTCTTCCATTACTTCCTCATTTGTAAACTGGGATACTATTACTATTTAAAAATGAAAGATATTTTCCAATTCTGATTTTGGCTATGACAAGTTGTTCCCTCTATCTACATACATCATTAATATCTATTATACTGTTCGCTCTATCTACATACATCATTAATATCTTTTGGTATAAAGATATTAATGATG